AAAAGACATTTTATATAAAAGATACCTGCACTCGAATGTCTGTAGCAGCACAATTCACAATCACAAAGATGTGGAAACAACTCAGGTGCCACTCTAGGACATGTATATACATGTGTTATAATTCACTCTTTCCTTTCCCAAAATGACCTATGGATATTTGCTTCAGTAATCATAAACTTTAGAAGGAAAAATACCCAGATCTTTGAGCATTGTTGGATACAGAATTTAATTGAGTCAGTTCACATTCACCTAGGACAGACAGCATGATGTATTTATTCACAGTCTTGCTCCAGAGATACAGTAATTTGCCTGGTCTCTGTCACAATAAATCCAAACACACCTAGATCTTCACAGAACATCACGTAGGAATCACAGCACTAAGGTGATGAGTAAACAAGATAATCTGTATAATCAACTAACAGGTTAGGAAGTAAGCAGTAGTTAAGATGTTGGTGAAGTTTTAGGAGTCCAAGAGTTTAAGGCATGCCCACATCTCTTTCGAGGTAAAGAAAGTCTTATTGCATCTTGTACTTCCAACCTTAGATAAATGAATGAATAAAACAGAATTTTCTGGAACTCTTGTGGTTTTAGAGATAGCATGCTCTGCACTTGGAAATTTGTGCTGACTCATTTCCGGGGTAACTTAAAGGGTTTCCCAGTTTTTAGAGGATCCCGGATAAGGCAAAATAGCAGTGTATTTCTGTAGAGTCCAACCTTTAGAATTCTGAGACCTTTTCCAGTGATAACACTCAGAATAGCAATGCGTACATTATATGCTTTTTCATTTCCCAAGGCAAAACTCTCTATTATTCTCCAGTCAAAACCCTCAAATACTCCATTAGCAGCAAGCCCATAACCTATGATGATCAATGGATTTATCTCCATTCTTACTTCATCTTATTACAGGCTTCTGACAGGAAACAAGTTTTGAAGGGACCTGAATCAGTAATGAAAATGAAGAGCTGCTTAGGTGACTGACCTTCGTATGGAAAAGACAGAATGAATAGAAATGAGAAAAGGCTAAAAATGTCTTCATTATATATGCAAATATAATGGGGAGACTTTTTATCTTTCCTTTTTCTGATTACTTATAAACTGTACTCTCATCTATTAATGTAAAAGAGTATTCTTTATTTTTAGACTGTAAATTCTAAAAAGTGTTTGATATTTAAGATCAGGTGCTTAAAACAACTATATATAAAATGTGGTCTATATATTACATAAATCAAAATATGGCCTAGAAAAAACAATCCACC